TCTAGATAACTGTTTGATCCCACATGGCTTCCACAAAGCAAAATCGAGCCCTTACGCACCTGCTCAACCAGTAGACTAACATTCAGTCCTTGTGTTCCTGAATTCTGCCTGAGTGCTTTCTTGTCAGGCACAAGGGTTCCAAGACTTTGCGCCACCTCCTCAACTACTGTCGTCAATGAAAGCACTTTGATAAAATTTGGAGCTTTGCACAACTTTTCCAAGTAGTACACCCTATCTGAATGAGGGCTGGAACGCAGAAGTACTGCAACCTCCGGTTTACAAAGAATGTCAATGAGGGTGACAACGGGATCCGTAGACTCTTTTTCGTCCTCCATCGCAAGAGAGCTAATGAGGTTCAAGGCACTATCAAGCATCTGAGGGGGCTGCTTTGCAATTAATTGCATCCACGAGGGAAATAAATTGGCACGACTTTGGTCGTCAACGTCATGAGAACTGCAGGAAAAGTTAAAATTGCAGACAATGCTGCGCATGTAGGCCAGAAAACCCATGCTTGGAAGGGGCTGAGACACGAGGTAACAAGGTGGATAGACTTCAGGCACCTCGGTAAACCTCAATGCCACAACAGCGATGACAAGGACAAGAGGAAGCACCAGTTCGCTTACAATCACCCAGGGTTGACGCTTGCGGAGAACAAAGGTCTTCCATAAAAGAAGTTTGTAATGTGAAAAGAAACCAGGAACTTTGACCTCTCTGGTGTCAGCTGCGTGGCGAAACGTTGTCTCGGGTGTCTTCCAAGGGAACTCTTCTTCATTTGAGATGCTCGGCATCGAGGTTGTTTCCATACTCTGGAGGAACGCTCCTAAGTTTAACAAGATTTGTCAGTTTATCCACACCAATGAAGCAGTTTTTATGGTCAACGAAGAACAAAGCAAAAAACCCTATTCTCTAACGAGAGAGTGAGTTGCCAAACATTGACTGCAACTACACTTCAGAGACGCAAAACACATTGTTTCAAGATAACAGCTATTGTACCACTTTTGGGCAGTTTTGGGATAAACGTGGTTTCCTGTCTGCCTTTTAGAACAAGGGACCGATTGGCAATCAGCTCGTTATGGTCGTTCACAGTCCAATGATGAAAGTGTTTAAAGCAAAGAGAGGTAATGCATTATGATGACTTCTCTAATTGCTCAGGTATTTCTTCATAATTGGTATCCGAAATGTTCGTTAGTACACCTCTTCGTGCTAGAAACAGTCTCTTAATTTTGATAAGTGGTTTAAAAGTTTAGAAAGACATTTTCTGCAGGTAAAAGGGTATCATTGAAGCTTTTCTGTGAGGACCCTTTACTCAGAGCCTAACAACCTTTACTGATGAACTTGTTCGTTGTGGCAAATTAACTGATAAACTGTTTCTTATCAAGTTTTTATTCTGTAAAACTTGTATAATAAAGCTGTAACGCTAATATTTTGAAGAAGTTGATAATATGGTCTATGAAACAAAATTTTTTCGGCTTTTTATTTAACCAATTTATTTGAGGTGTTCGTTAATAGAAAATTATGAATCTCTCACAACATTCCGACTTTTGCCAACACCACCAGTATTTTAACAATGCTCTTAGCTTATCAGATATCAATATCAAACAAATACTAATTATTGTAGACTATTAGAATAATCATGTATAAGACTTGACTTACTCAACTCTGTTCAACTAAAGCCAGAATTCGTGTGACATCATACCAGATTCCATAATAAAGATTCTCTATTCAATCATTTTACTAGGCCTCGTTTTAAAGCATTAGACACAACGGTGAAATGCTAATGCAAGCATACTGGATTTTTTACGCTACACAACCAAATAATCATTTGTAAAAGACACAAGTGCCCCAAATATTAATTCGTCGGCAATTGATCCATCTCATATACTTTTCAAGCAAAATCAAAATAATAGATTAGGCATATAGGTACCTAACAACCTTATTGCACAAAGCGGTTAATGACAAAGTAATTGACACTGCATTTAAAATAGGATCTAATTAATGAACCGACAATGGGTTCAGAAAGGGAAAAATCAAATACTTTCAACTTTATTTTACCGATTTTATACAGACCCCATATACGTGTGGAACTTTATAGTGAGCGGCAAAATTTGACAAGATATTTATTCGTTTTATCACAATTTCACATCAACAACACAAGGAAGAACTACGTACCAAAATGGCATTCGAATTACTTTAAGACTCGAAGACCTTTTCGTTAGCTATTTCAAACAAGGTCACAAGAACAAGAATCAGATTGTTTAAAGCAAAATTAAATAGCTTTATCATATTTAATAAAAATTAAGACACATTTGTTTTAAATTCAAATAAATTTTTTTGATTTCTTCTAGAGTTGATTGTTTCCAAACCAATCTGATCATATAACTGACAGGTAGTTTTTACCAAAGCGTTTCATGCTAAAGTATTTGGCATGCGTTTAGCAAGGCATTTCAGCACAATCTTCATTGTCCTAAATAAATTTATCTCATCTTCGAAAGCATTCGCAACCCGAAAATTTCAGAAATATGTCAAATAGGAGGATCGTGTTTATCAAAGAGGAAATACCTGCAAGTAACATCCTACTTCCTGAAAGGGATATATTTTTTCTTTTGCAAGTAGGGTTTTTAAACGCATAGTATCATATTGTCTTGAAAGAAGTGCGTTCTATAATCATACGTCTTTTTATCTCGGGGTTCTAGGTGTCCCTATTATGAAAGCTTTGCAGAGACGAAGTGCATTTTGTTGTACTAGACTTTTTGCCTATGGCGTCGTTTTCATCTTTTAAAATACCTGAGCTTAACGCCTTTTGCCATTTTACCACGATGATATGCCTTAGGGATTCCTATATTCGAGAATAACCGCTGTTTCTTGCCAATAATAAATGAAGGAATCTACTTTATGAAAATGAAGCCTTCTTTGCTTACCTAGTGATAAATTTCCATTTTTTTATTAGGCTGCTTCTTTGAGCTGGTAAAAATGACGCCAATCGTGGATATCGTTGAGATCTAGTTGTTAACTACATTGTCAATTCTTTGCAGATACACCTTCGTTTATATGTTATCAAATCCATTGTTCTTAAAACCTAACAACCTCTTCCTCTGCTTTTTTTCATGTAGTCTGCTTTTGAATTAAATCATCTCATTCCAACACGTAAACGTAACCAAAGAACACATACAAACATCAAAATACTCGCGGCTTATCCTAGACAATATTTACCTATTTGAATTTTGATTTCATGCTAACAGGTTGACGAAACACGTTCCACTTTAGAAAAACGAAATCTCTCATGATTACGAATGGGCAAATGTATTGTGTTGATTTACGACCTACGACCCGTTTGCCTCATACGCCAATTCACCACACTCCTTTTTGCTGATCACCCATCTGCCATGTGCGACTGTCTGCTCACACACTCTTGTACACGTATCTTCCACACTACACGTTTAATTGGTCTGGCCATCCAGTTACTTTAATTTACGTCAGTTCTCCTAAATTGTATGGATCGAATACTACCTTAGTCATGTGCAAATTTCAACGCGAACACGCACATAATGACATAACTTCATTGAGCCATTTTTAAAAATGTTGGTGTTTTGGCCATGTTTGACGTTGTACCGTTACTAGGTCCATCCAACGTGTCTCATCATTTTGCGAAAATATTTTTTTATATCTGGCCTGTTTAAAACACAGGGTTAATAAAATTTCATGCGATGTGACTGAATAGAGTTAAAATATTTTGTTGTCGGTAAAGAAAAATAATGAGATACTCTGCATTAATAAATTACCTGCCTATTCTTGTTCCAGCATCTTATTCAAAAAAAATTACTAGTTTTCGACGTTGTGAAAGGCAGTTCAAATGCTGCTGTGTCCCTAATTTATTCTTTGGCTTTATTTAAATTAATATACTTGTAGTTACTTGTGATTTTTGTCTTTTCTTGTGAAATGATTTTTTGAAATAACACATTTAGTTATAAATCTAATGTATTTTTCGACTATCTACAAAAAACAGTAATTATTGGTAACTTATTGACAAAGGCACGGTTTTAACCAGCCTATGGCCGACCCGGCAAGTTTCTTCTCTGGTTATTCGAACTTTGTTTTGGCGCCCACGTAATGTGATTGGGTCTCTTTGGCCTGGATTGTAATCCCATTTCGCCGTTCCTTGTGATTTGCAATTCTGCTACACTATCTTGACTAATGCCTCGTTGGTCCGTTCAAATGTATTGGTTTCGATTTAGAGAAGCCATCTTATATCACATTCGTATGATATGCATGCTTGCTGTCTATCTCTGGAGCCTTTGTTCCTATTCATTTCGAATGCAAACTAAAGCAGTACGTCACTTTTAAAAAGTAAAGTTTGAGGTCTTACAATACCAAAGTGTGCGTTACAATATCGTTCCACTTTCTCCTATTTCAAAACTACAGTTATGTGAGTCGATGTTAAAGATCTCTTTGTTTACATATTTATGGAAGTCTAGTTTGTCGTGTTCCTTTTTTGTTGCTTTAGGCTTGCGAAGACGTAAGATTATGGTGATTGACTTAGATGAGACGTTGATACATTCCGTGCTTGACGGCATGTCGCGTCCAACTGTTCGATCTGGCACCCCACCAGATTTCGTACTGAAGGTCGACATTGACCACCACCCAGTTCGCTTCTCTGTGCACAAGCGCCCTCATGTTGATTACTTCCTCGATATAGTGAGTCTTTTTTGGCCATATTGACCAAACTACAGTTTTTAACCGCCTCGAATGTCGTTCCGAGATGGTCACTTACCTAGCTCCCCCTTACCGTCATTTGACGAATGCCTGAGTCTTAGGTGATTAACCAGATTCCTACTATGGTCACATGCCTGTTTGTGTGGCCATTGCCCTGTTCGTGTGATCTAGTTCCTAGTCTACAGCATGGCCACCCTCGTTTCCGCAGTTATTTCTACCTCTTCGCCTGACTTCTAAACCTCAATTTAAGGTCCCTGTAAACGTCGTAGTGGCTGTTTTTATCTACGGGATTAATTTAACTGCAGTCTTAAACTCCAAGAGGGCTAATAAACTACATTTGTTGTGCCACCTAAAGATGAAGTATCCGCTGATCTTTTTTCAGTTTAGTTGGTGCGTTTTTGTGGCTTTTAAGTTTTAGTGAAAACCGGTAGTACCACAGGTTGGTATATTCCCAAATCATCTATCCGAATCGCTTACGACATTTCCCTTTAAAGACACCTGCCGATGTCACTTATTATGGTTTAGGCGTCTAAATTGGGGTAAATGCCTCAGAGATTGAAGGCTAGTACACTTTTCAGGCTGAGGCCTTGTGTTCGAATCCCCTTTCCTTATATTTGCCCGAAACGCCTCTTCGTGGAAATATCCTTTAGGCAACTTCCTAATGACACCCATAACATTAGACCGCAAGCGCGAAAAGTATATGAAGCTTAAAATAATCATCTTAGATGTGATTCTGTATTATTCCTTGCCCTATTTTTTGTGAATACACCTATCATTAAATGCATGAAACTGGTTATTTTGCTATATTTTTTTCATTTACTGATTGTGTTACTGTTCTGTGTCCTTCTGTTTCTGTTCGAAGATTAGCCAGTGGTACGAGTTGGTTGTTTTCACTGCGAGTTTGGAGATTTATGGCGCTGGAGTCGCAGACCACTTGGATAACGGCCGACACATATTCCAACGACGCTTTTATCGACAGCACTGTCTTTATGACAGCGGGAGTTACTCTAAAGACCTCTCTCGTATCTCCTCTGACCTCTCGTCAATTTTTATTCTTGATAACTCTCCCGGTGCCTACCGCTCATTCCCTGGTAATTCTTCGCTTGATTTGCGTATCCTATGTAGTCCAGTGCAAACTTGCGCCACTTTTGCCGGTCGTTTCGCTTGTATCCATCGTCAATTCCCAAAATAATCCTATTAGCTCTTGCTAGCTACTGGGCTAATTTTGCTCAAGGCTTTCAGGTTTTTCAGTTAGTGTCACTCGATCCATTTCGGGGTTTCTTGATATTGGCAATGTGGTTGTGCGTTATGTCGAAATTAATACGAATAATGTGGTATCATCTTCCGAATGTCATCATCCTTAATTTGGTGCTACTGATTTCAGTGGACCAATTCATTGCATTGTGTCCATGGTAAGCTACATAAAGACCTGTGCGTCTGCGTCTGTGTGCACTTTAGATGCGTTTAAACGTTAGTGATTAACTCCAATGTACTCTGAATACCTTTAGAAATGCTGCTAAATTCACATGCATTTAAACTCGAATTATGTGCTAACCTGCGTGTTAATAACTTTACTCACTGCATGAGGCCTTGTAGTGTGAAATGTCTATCCTTATTTTTATTCCAAACCAAATGTTTTAAGATAAAATGACTAATCTAAATCTGGCCTTACTCTTGATATTGTCCAACTGTGACTATACTTGCATCTCCCTGGTAGTAATGTATTGCTGTATTCTTTGTAGATAATGCAATCCCCATCCGGTCGTGGTTTTCGGACTCGCACGATACAGCCCTCCTCTGTCTTCTCCCGGTGCTGGACGCCCTTCGTTTTGTGACAGATGTGCGCTCAGTCCTAAGTCGAAATTTGCATAGAGACTTTCAGGGACACCCTACTATAGGGGGATCACCCTTCATGATGTGATCCACTCTTCTATAGCCGCCCTTTGATTCACCTTAATGAGAGTTCTTCCGTTTTCTAAAATATCAAAAAACCTCTTCTTTGTCGCTCGCCCAACTTATATATATATCTAAGAGTAAAGGAAACATTTTGATTCTCCGTTGGTTTTCATGCAAATTTTAAAATAGGCGGAAATCCTAGCTCCTTGAGCCCACCTGTTACCTTAGTTTAGAACGGCAGTTTGGGTCTCCTGTTGCGTTGACAATTAGTTGGTATTATTGTTGTCGTTGTAAACGCCTTGGCATTGTCGTCATTGATCATAGTTGAAGTTGGATGGAAATTTTGATGCGCTTGACGCAAATAGAAGTCAAGAATTGTTTCAGATCAGATTTCAAGATTAGGATTATCATTTCTCTTGCAATTGTGGTGTTCTGCGCATCCCAGGGTAATTGAGTAGACACTAAAATCCGTGGTGCCTGCCCCTAGAAGCTGTTGATTCACTTGTCCGATCTATTGTTGGCACGTTTTCATGTACAACGCTCGAGTTCGAAAGACTAAGTTATCCTTGTAAGCTGTCATAGCACCGGTTTGGTCTTATTAATCTTTAGATCCGCTGCATGTTCAAATCTAGCAGTACTTCAGTGGGTTGAATCGTCGCAGTTTGGGCTGCGCCACATCAAAGGTCTTCGTGTTAACTGATCATGGAGGCATATGCATTTGAATTGCCCCTTTGTAGCGGTTCTTAAATTATTCGAAAAGGCCGTCTGGGAAACTGCCTGTGCGTCAATTTTGCCCAATTTAAATGGCGATGGTTGCCTGAGCATCAGAATAGTTTTGCCTCAGAGATGACGATATAAATTTAAAGTGCTTTCGAAAATACGAAGGAGCGTTAATTCTCGGCGAAACGTAATATGTGACCTGTTAGGAAAATTATATCAACGTGAGAACACGGTCACGCGGGAGACCGATAATCTTACACGAAATTGCTTGCTGAGGCGGGTACCATTTGGATATCGACGTGGTACGCGCGTTGCTACATGTACCGGAATTTTTCGGACGGGGTATGTTCGAAAAGGAGACTTCGGCTTAGTTAAACAGTTGAAAATCCAAAAAATGAAACATTATTCAAACACACTAATGTCTCCACTAATCGCCTGGGGTTGGTAGTTTGACCATCTCTAGTTGAGTTCGCCTTCAGAAAAAACGGTGCTGACGGAAGAAATCTGCAGTTTATTCCTTAGTGTTAAATTCGAAATGCTCCTTTCACAGAGTATTTTGTGTGAGTAATCTTTCGATGTATTTAAAGAGTATTGGTTTTTCGTTTGACCGATACGCCGGGATCATCCTTTTGAAGCGGCTCCTGTTGTTCGGAGAAGGTATTCGACCTAAAATGGGAAAATTTGTTGGTTTTAAATTAAAAAAAGATATTAGGCATCCCTAAATCCTGGTCTGCCATAATTGCCTCACCATACATTCACTTACTACATATGTACATCTAACTGTATGAAAGCGTTTATACGCTAAGCCAACTCACCAGTTTCCCCTTTAGAAACTAACAACGACACGAGGGCTCAATTTCCACATTTTGAGGTGGCTAAATTTGAATGACGCTGTTTAACAATGCTCATTTGTGACCGCGCGTAACCCAAATTTGTTCTTGAGCATAAATGCCTTCTTGTTAAGATGATCCTTCCGCTCTGAATTAAAATAAACTACCCACCGCGACCAGTTGATCACTTTTTGTTAACTTTTCGGATTATGACATGTTAATGAAAGCATTAGCTATGAAAAAAATATTACCAAAAATTCGACTGGATCAGTTGGTCTGCTTTGTCCGTAGAGAACCAGGCACTCGGTTACCACTGGGAGTACGTATCTAAGTAGGTAGTTTCTACGAGGCATAGATTTGACTGTGTGAAGCTGTTCATTTTCCTTCCTTAACAACATCAGCCAGTCATGCTAAAAGCAATATAGCGAGACAGTGACTAGCAGAAATTTCCTGGGCGATTGCGAACATTAAATCGTGGAAAGCCAATTGAAATTCTAGGTACCAGATAGTATAAATTCTTCTAAATTAACTGGTGAATTAATTGGCAAGACATTCATGGCTGCATTCGTGTGACACGGTTTAATTAAAACCTGTGTTTTCCCGTGATTTTATTCGTTTCGAAGCTGCAGCTTGGAATACGCCTCTAACGTATCTGAAGAGTTCTTCAAGCAAGTCCGGTTCTCATGTCAACCTAAATACACACACACACACAGACGTCAGCAGCTGAATGGGATCTTTCTACAATTGTAAATTTCACCCGTTTATATTTTTTCCTTCAAGCTGAACACCTGAAATATAATGGCTGATGGTTTACGAAATCGCATCAACAGTCCATGTTAACCCTCTTTCCCATTTAATAAAGTTGTGGAACATTGGATGTGCAAACGAGTGCAGATATCTGTGACGCTGCCTCACAAAACGTTTGTTTACACAACATCATAGGTCTAATGAGGCGTTGAATGTATGCCCCGGCCAATCAAAACCAGCATTTTCATCACCAGATCTCTGTTTAGTTAAACGAAAACCTTGGTAGACATTAAAACTGGGAAGAGTGTTTGATGAGCCATCTCAACGACATGTTCTATTAGGACAGAGACGAATACTCCATTACACGGTTACTCGCCGTGGGCATTAGCACCGCCAAGGAGCCGCAACGAGCAACTTTTCTTGCTTGAGGAATTCATGTGGTTTAACTTTAAACTTGTAGCTAATATTTCTGCAAACCATCTGGGTGTGTAAGTAGTGAATTCGGATGCTTTCAATAAGCATGCCCAAATTTCGAACCCAGTTACGCATAGTTACGAACCCACTCATCTTACTTCCAAAAGTCGGGTTGCAGACGACGCAGACAACCCCATTCTGAATTTCCTTACTTGGTGTAAATCGCATGCAACTCAGTCAAAAGCCAGCCGGCTTGCATTGAATTCATTAGTTTATGATCATGTGGCGAATGAAGTGTTGCTGTGACTGCTTTCAAGTCGTTCGACCACCAAATTGCATTAGCTGAAAATATTATAAGCCTTTGCGGTTGTTAAAGTCCTAAATCACCTGTGTTTAACAGTTTTTGCCTTTGTCTATCCCACCTTCAGACTTCAAGCTTATGAAACGACACAATAAATTGGCCCATAGTCCTAATCACTTTACCCACGCAAAGTCAGATTGCAAAACATATAAAGCCATTTCTGGTAGGAAGTTTAAACCAACCCAAATGGCCTGTTCTCTTTTGGAAAGCACTTCAGCGGCTTCAGCACGAAGTTCGTCGTTGTAGTCTTCTAAGTCGGCCCACTGCTTTTTCATTGCTTGGACGTTCCGCTCGTCCGTGTCCCTCTCGTCCAGCAGGGCTCGAGCGGTACGCACGAATTCCCCGGTTGCCGACTTGGAGATCCTTTTCAGAATGCTCTTGAAGGTAAATTTTTGGGGCCCACCTGGATACAGAGGCTATAGCAAAAAATCGATGTTATAGTCAGAGAATTGTGCTAAAGTAGCCCACGGCGCAATCGCGTTTTGCAAACCTACAAATTCCGAGAGTGTTACTAGGTGTGTCTTTATTTGTTCTAACAGCAAATTGCAGAGACGTCTAGAGAGCTCGATTCTGGTGTACTCCGGTAACTTGTTTCGAGGACGGATTGCAATACACGCTAAAGAGACTCCAACCAAGCCGAACTCTAGCTATGTCGGCTTCTCCATGTTCCTTGAAATCTCCTCGGAATTATTGGTTAATGATTATAAATTGAGAATTTCGTTTATATTCCTGCCTCAATATTAACGACTCCAATCATGGATGAATAGCGAACCATGCTGATTGAGGCCCACTAAGGCGGTTGCCGCATTCTCCGCCACACGGACCTCATTTTCACGGCTTCCTTATCGCCCACGGGCGACCATCTGCGCATTCACCCCCGTGCGTGTACCTCCCCCACGCCTCCCGTTTCATTCATCTGGCCTTTCAGTCATGTGTACTTTTACAGGTTAACCCGGACTGAATCGGACACCAATCACCATCTGCCAGACACGGCTTTTTTATGTACAGTGGCGCGACAGTCATAGCTTGTTTGAGTTATTTAGTAGACGGTTGTCTGGTCTCCGTCATGTCTTCTCGGGTATCTGAGTGTAAACGGGCTACGTCTACACTGCAGTCCCGAGATGGTTTGTGACCACATGCTGGGGCCTCCAACACATCAAAAAATAAGGATTAATCGAAATGTTAAGATATTTCGCATGAAATTTTCCGATGAGGGGCCTTGGTTAGCTTGGTGTATATCGCCCAATTTCAATCACTTACTTGGCTCTTGTCCCTATCCATGTTCACCACGAAGGGATGAAGTTCACGAAGATCGAAGTAGGTGAGGACATTTTTTTCGAGTGGATCTAACTGTGCCGGGGGCAGCTCTTTTCGCGGCCACGGTCGCGGCACCTGCAGCGACGCCGCGGACCTGGGTCGCCTGGACTTCGCTTCTTGTTTGGCAAGAACTACGCAAGGCGTGCAAGGGTTTTAGAAAGTCAGTTGCATGTCAGCAGTAGGCTGAGATAAGTGTATTTCCATTTAACAGAATGTCAAGTGAAGTTAGTTACTTCCTGTTGAACCACAGATTCCCCTCAACAACTTTTCATTCATTGGATTGACATCGAAACAGTCTTTAATTAATCATGCGGTGGGCGTTCAGAATGCTTTTTAGTATCAGCATCGGGGTCCTATATCCTATGTTTGTTCCTGTGTTCCAGCAAACGATTATCTCAAAACTGTAAGTTCCGGTGAGATTTCAAACTACTGTGGCTTAGTGATTGTACAAACTTCTCAAAATTAATTACCAAGCCCACTTGATGACAGATCTGCATCTGATTGGAAGTCGCCTAACGTCGGTGACTTTATTTACCCCCAATTGTTTTTTGCATCGTAACACGGACAGGTAAGGAGAGTAATTTAGTACAGGAAATTCCTTCGAAGTCACATTACCTATTGCAGCTCATGACCCAAATGACAGAAGCACAGCCCCAATCGGCTGAGCACAAGTTCATCGAATTCCGTGGTTGACTGAAATACTAGCTCCAATAATTTGTGATTGCCCTTACTTTACAATTTATCACTAGAGCATGGCCACAGTTTCTACTGCGTGAAGAGATTGAACCAAGTATCCCGCAACTCCCTAAACACGTCTCTGTTGTGCACGACGTGGAACAAGGCCACAACAATCTGCTGCTATTACTCCAGAAATAAAATGCCTTGGAAAGATTTGCGTAATAGCGATTATACCACCTCAGGGGAAAGTGCTCCACTTTCGAACCCAACCCATAGTCTGATTTTCAAATTTATAAGTGAGTGCATCAGTTTATTCACACCAAAAAGAAGCACTTACGAGGACTGTAGGGCTCAAAAGTCTTCTCAACAATAGCCGAAGCAGCTCGTGGGGCCATCAAAGCTCGGTGTTTTTCCAAGCGACGCCTAAGCCTTCGTTCAGATGATTCTGCCGGCTTTATCCACTTTATTTTGAGTTCATCTCCCTTCTTGTATTGTCGTTTCTTGTCACCCTAAAAAGCCCCAAAACGTGGCATTTCTTGGTGTGCATTAAAAACTAGTGCTAGACGATTTCGCTCATGGGGACAGTTACGTATTAAAGCAGGTTTCGCCTTAGTCATGTGAGAAAGGATGAAAAGGGATGTAAAAAGCGTAAGGAGAAAAAGAAGTGCTAGCGACACAGGTCGCAGTGAATGTTAAATTGACTGTAGAGCAAATTATTTTTCCAGTTTACACGCTAACACCAAAGGGCATCAATCATACAGAAGCTAGGTTTTGTTTGATTTAAGCACATTTTTCACATGGTTTTTTACATTTCTCGACTTTTATGCATACGATTTAATCTGCAATGTCTTTTTCTTCAAAGATTTTTGTTTCATTCAATTTAATAATATCATGGTGCTTGATTCCTATCATATTTTTTCGTTGTTATGAAACTAATTAAATGAAGTGATTTTCTTCCGATAAGTAAATAGCAGTCTGGGGAAAAACCCGACTGAACATTAGCCAGAAGTATGTTTTTGAAAGTTTTTAGCTTTTCTCAAATCGTAATCTTCAAAGTAGATGACAAATGTAATATTTCAAAAACAAAATTTGGTTCAAATATTAGACCTATAACATTTCACCGATCGTGTTTGATGAAATCTTGGATGCAATCAGCCATTCTTCACTTTTCAAAGGGTGGGTGCTTTTTAAACAAAGCAAGTTAACAGAATTGCAAAATTTGTGTTTATTTAGTGAAATTATCGAATGATAAACAAATGAGTTCATGTTTTGAGTTAAAGACTATAGGGTTCCCCTTTGAAAGGACGAAGCCACTTGAGCCGCTGATTTCAAACATTGGAAACAAAAAATAGTGCCTCACTTTATTGTCCTCATTTTTTCCCTTCTGTTGTTTTAAGACTCGTGTTCTCAACTCCTCTTCAACGTCCATCGTCAAGCCGTCGACGTCGTCGTAGTCGGGCAACTCGTCAAGCTCGATTCCCTCGTCTGCCATCATTTTCTTGAAACGATGAGTCACAAGGGCGTTACTGGCCTCCAGGTACACCACATGATGAGGAAACAAAAGCGGATCAAATGTTGGGTGCCGCGCGTCCCCTCCAGATCCGACTCGGCCTGTAAACAAGTTCAATGTGACTGCATTATCACTTCCTTTAACACGGTAGGACTTTCAGTCTAGTGAATCAAACACTCCTCTGACCTTTAAAAAAATTGCATTGTCCATATTCGCAAGCTTTTGCATCACAGCGAAACATGTTGCTTCTTGCCAAAAGTTATAACGTATAAGTGACTGTAACATGTTTACTTGATTTATGTTTTCTTATATTTCCCAAGCTGGTAATTAAAATGCTTGAGTCCGGTGATCGGTGTAAGTGTGCTTTACTGTCTGCCCTTCGTGGGAACCCGAGGAAAGACATATCCCAAGCACATCGCTTACAGTCGTTGAATTCGAATAATTAGTGATCAAAATCCCACCTCACTGGCGTTGCTGCAACAAGGGGTGGATCGGGATCATCATGTATATTCCGATAACGATGAGGCGGAAATGTTTGCGCGATATGGGGTACAGGAAAAGTGCAAGTGCAATCAACACCTGAAGGAAGCTTCTCACAGGCTCTCGTACAACTGTGAATTGGGATCATTAATTTGTGTATCACAGTTCCTGTGCCAATTCGACATCAGCATTAATAAGGACAGGAATGAACTCCAGAAAAGCATCACTCAACGCAGATGAATTGTTAGTTATTTAATGGTTCATTAAAGTATTCAGCTTAGAGGCCATTATGAAATCTGATGGCTTTCATCCTAAAGTCCGTGTACTGAGTTTCTAACTGAAAGCAATAATTTAAAGAGGGGAAAGGGTATATACTACTTGTCTGAGTCTTACTTCTAAATAACATTTCCGCTTGCTCAAACGAGTTGGGATAACCGTCTAGAACAAAGCCCTGGTTACAACAGGGTTTAGATAGCAGTTTTTGTCGGAGATATCTAAAATGACAACAGAAATTTTGTTAAAAACTGTGGTCCTGTCAAACCCTTAAGCCATTTTAGTAGTTGAAGGTTCAATGCGGAGTTCCCTGATTCTAAATTATATAAAGTCATTTGAAATGCAAATTTCGTATCAAATGGAATTTTTTGATTCCATACGTCTTGATAACTTCACCTAAAGCCGTTTTCAAATCTTTAACAACTATTGTTTACCAAGGCTTTCTTACTCTCCCAAGAGAGCTACAAATGGAAGTGCTGGTCGATAAGCTCATCTCTTAAAATCAGAACATAAATTGATAGCTATTGCAGATCTTCAAGACCTGTCTTTGCAAAATCAAAGTAACACTGTATAAAAAATTATTATTCAAGGCCAAAGATTTGGTCTTGAAGCCTCTACATTCAAGATCATACCAACTAGTAATTAGGGAAAATAAAAATTCAGGGAAGACAGGTTGTAGAATGCGACTCAGGACAACTAATTCCCACAATGCACTTTATCCTAAAGAATTATTCTAATCATAGCCGCATCCATCACATTTTCCCGACATATTCTCGTCGTCCAACTCTCCCTTTGTGAACTAGACTTGCACATATTTTCGCCTATTTAGCAGCTTTAGTGGTTGTTCTTTGAAAGGAAAGAGCTTAGAGTTGCGGAGACGTCGTGGCTTGAGGCGAACATCCAGGCCTCGACTGTAACACTTGTGCGCATAGTAGCACAAGTCGCTTTTTCCTTGCAACCAACAGATTTGATGGTATTTGACCTTCGCAGACACAATTTCATTCAAAGCAGATACAATGTTAATGTTGGTAGCGTTTGACATCCTTGTAACACCCACTTGGGGAATATTTTAAAGTTGAACACGGATGTAGTCTTGTAATGCTGTTAATTTGGACTATCGAAACGTTTTATACTCTAACAGATGTGTCATAGGGGACTTAGTATCACTGAACTACCACAATACGGATATTTTAATGAGCCCCTCCTGAGTTACCCATATCTTGCGGACTGTCTTGGTCTATTTACAGGACCGCCATGTGCTACATTCCGTACTGTCCATTTGTTTACTCGTTAGCACGAACCACTTGGGTGGATACAGCCAAAATGGCATAGGAAGAGCCGTTCGTTAAGGTGAAGAAAATTATTACAGTTCCGCGACAAAACGGCGTTCGATTTAGCTTTGGTTTGATGTATGTCGGCAATGTGTACTCAAATTAGCGTGATCAATAGACGATTTAACAGATTGTAAGTGAATCGTGTTGATTCACGACAATCAACCCAGACGTCGGTCGCTCCAATACTCTTCCCACCTTTTCACGGCGTGCCCGTCAACCATGCGGGACGGCCTGCTCACGCACCCCTGTCCATGTATCCCCCAACCCACCACCTGTATTGCTCATCTGGTCATCCAGTCATTAGTACTTTTACCAGGTCACCCAAACTGGATGGGTCAACCGCTTCATTGATCGTGCACGTCTTTGAACACGTGGAAGGACACGACAGCACAACTAGGTAAAATTATCGAGTAAACGATTGTCATGATCGCGTTGCTAATTTATCTCAATGCAAGTTTAACATATAAAAAAACTTTTACTTTGTAATGATATGGTCCTCTACATGAAAGTCATCAAGTAGCCCATTTATAAAATCGATCAGTTCAGTTTTAGCTTCATTCGCCATTTTGACCAGTTCATCCTCGTCCTTCCACCGTACCGGGGGATAGAAGGGGTACCGTTGCTGAACCTCTTCTGGCAAGGAGTCGATAAGTGACACTTCCGAGGGAGGGCGAGCGTTATCTTGGTGGAATGCGAACAGTTAAAAGTAAGGCTAAATTGGTGGAACTATGACGCTTTCGAAGGATAGGGAAGGTGGCATCACTCAAACTTGCATCCGACACAACATTCAGCTGCGTGTCGAAACCATGTCCACCAGATAACTTTGTTAGTTCTGCGCACGCTAAACTTGTGCGTATAGCCATTCGTGTGCGTACAGTGATAAATCTAATGCTTCCTGCTTTCCAACTTCCTAACGCAATAATAATATCAGTGAGTCAAGTGCCACAACAGTTTCGATGGATCATTCTTCAGTCTGGCTTTGAAATTTCAGTTTTTAAATAACTTTACCACTAAATTGAATCGAGGTTGAAGGCATGTTTCGCGTTCTGTTACTAATCAGTCTCGATCCTTTTTCAGCCTAAGCAGTAGCTAGATTAATAGGCACCACACTCAACATATGTACCACTGCTTGTGCAGGAAACCTAACTGCCTGCACAACGAAAAGACACGAAAAACGGAAATATCGACAATACCTTAATTTGTTTTTCCCCTCACATGCTTACGATTTCGATGGTTTACTCACCACAAATGACAACAAAAGTTATTAGTAGTAATTAGTTCTAACGCGCCTCATTTATGCTTTTTTTCCTAAAATAGACATAGTAGTAATTTAAAAATCTACTTTCTGGAAAGCGGATTGAGATATTTGGTGGCAGTGGTTTTTGTGGCACGCACTAGCTGTCAGTTGTCAAGACGTTGACTAACCATCATCCGGCAGCTCAGAGAACACGGTTAGTGGGGTCGGAGGGGGAAGAGCTTGGGAGAATGCAGCATCCACGTGATCAGACGGCATGAGATCGCTCATGGGGAAAGTCATTGTACTCAGGTGTTCATCGGCCACGTCTTGGGAGGTAGTTGTAGCCAGAAGTGGTGGTTGTGGTGGCGGAGGTGGGCGTGGCGGTGGTGGAGGAGGTGGTGGTGGCAGTGGTGGGGACGCTTTTGCCGGAGCTCCTGCGTCAGCTTTTTTCTTCTCTTTCTTCGCCAGCTTCTTAGCCTTTTCAATCTCTTCAAGGGCCTTTATTGGCTTCCTCTGTGGTTGAAAAGACCAGGCTAAGGTTCTTCTAATGCCCTATTAATGTAGTCCCACTGTTGGGGCCTTAAAAGTTTCGAGATTCGTTGTCTTTTCTGAAAAGGTAACTGGTCGAATGCGACCACCCCGTAAGCTGTTAGGTTCCTTCCTCGGGGTGCAGAAAGATTGCCACACCCCAGCGACACCCAATCGACTAATTTAGTAAAAGGGGTCACGATAGTGTCTTCCACTAGCATTATCGATGAAATCAGAAGTGGTTTAAATGATATCGTTTGGTTGAATGTAAAGGCGAGGAATTCATTTACCAGAATCTCTAGGTATATAAATGATTACATACCAAGCGGAGGTATGCTTCGTAGAGCACCGGCATGACATGGATGTAGTGAAGACCGTAATAACGAGCCAGCTCCATTGCGTGCGTTGTCTTGCCCACAAAAGGAGGTCCAAGAACGCAGATTCGAAGAGGCTAAGCGAAATCAGAGCTTAAGCCTGGTGTGTGAGCGTGATAAGGATGCTTTAATCGAAAATCACAACATTTTGTGATACTAAGTATGATTTATTTAGTTACCCTAAGTAATGAAATTCTAAGAAAAGCGTCGTAAATAGTTCCCTAATGTTGCTGAGCCTGTCGAATGATGTGTGTTAGGCATGAATATAGTGGAATAAAACATCGAATTTGATGTTCCATAGAAAATGTCGCTTTTCTTGAGCCTCAGGAAGTGGATGCTAACTGCCCTCAAGGTTCACCCTCCGGACCGTGCCACGACATTACAGAATTACAAAAAGTCGAATTACTGATACTACTGCTTCACGAAAAGAATTACTTCACCGCAACACCATACGGAAACAGCTAGTCATGTATAAACTTCTATTTGGTCAAAACCGATTTCTGATTACTTTCTTTCTGTAAATTTTGCCTTGTCGCATTTTGAAAGGTTTGAGGTGCAGGGCGTAAGTTTTGCGTGCAGGTGGTTAGTGTTTACAAGCAGCAAGACATGGCCCCACGGAAGCATTTCCGATTCTCTGTTCAAAAAGTATAAATCTTTCCAGGAAAAGCCAGTACAATAATCCGCAGTTGCGTAACTATCCGCATTTTGTGTTAGACTTGGAAGTTTTGACTGACAAAAGCAAAAATTGCAATGGATACCGCAGTCTCATTGGTCATGTTGTAACTACATTGGGGTCACATACCACGGAGATACTGCTAACAAGTCCGTAGCATTTTAAATCGCATTTTCCGCTGCTAAGGCACTTTCAATTCGCCAGTATGAAATGTAGTAGTCTTTTATAGTTAGAGACACCATTTGCTATTCCTGAGTTGAGATCTAAAATGTGTAAAATGGATATGTATGGCATAAATTTGCTGGACGGAAATGCATACTTTGAATTCCTTAGCTTCGACGTATTCCCGAGCAAGAGTTGCGATGTTTTCAATCATTCCGTTTTCACACTTCCAGGGAATTGTTAGCGCCTCCTGTAGTGTCACATTACTGATCACCAGATCCATTGTTAACTGGTCGATCTGATATTTCTTGAAAGAAAATGCAAGCCTTTCTTTTATCTGTTTTATGATTGACTGAACAAAGTCATGTACGCCTTCCGAGTTGACAAAATAAGTAGAGAACTTCAATTTCTATGAAATTAACGCTTAAAAAGAAAGTTTAAGGGCTTTCTGTAAAGTGCCTTTCACATCGGAAACAGTACTAGTGTCCATCTAAGAGCAAAAGATACAAAGATTTGGAATCACTTGACCAATGGACACTGTCGCGTGTCTTGTTAAATTGGCAAATGCCAAACGATTGCGCATTAGACAATAGCACGTTTTAAAGGTTTCAAAACTCCGGTCCCAAGAATTTCATGAATGCCAAATTATGTTGCAACACCAAAACGCAACCTGAGCTACTCAGCTTAAAGGAAATTTTACATAGATCACGAAAACTGCTAGATGAAATATCTAATGGCTACATGAGCGTAATTAAATGTGCTATTAGCGATAAAATATATTTTTGTTCCCAAATATAAAATGGAAGGAAATTTTCGATTACATTTTACACGCGAGACAGCCCGTTACTCTAAACATTTGATCTCTGTATTTGGACTCGTAATACTCGTGAAATCAGCCGTTACAATATAATCAGAGGACTTTGGTTTGATGGCAATGCAAATGGGATGGTTCCGTGTGTTATTACTTACTGGAATACCACGAATTCTAGCGACCTCGTCATCTGACATTCGTCTAATGTCACCGCTACTGAAGACGCCTGAAATTGCCTTTAAAAGAATTAAGAAAAGGTAAGTAGTTTCAAACGATATGAAGCCATCCCAAATTCTAACCCAAAATGAATAAGTCACCAATACCAGCTCCTGTTTTACCAACCACATTCAAACCCATGTTTTTCATCCATTCGGTTAAACGTCTAACCTAGGTGACGAGGTTTGAGAGATGTATGACTGATTTTAAAAGAGTAAGACTAGAATAGCATATGCAAAACAAATTAGAGACGCATTTTGATGCTGAACTAATCGTACATAAGTAAAGTTTCACAGCGGTAGCATTATACTACCACCTGGGCTTGACTGTAGGCTGGCACAAAAGCTGCAATCAATTTCTGGCCTCGCTCACGTTCACTGATTAAATTGTTTTCTATGAAGACTTCACAAGTCCAGTGACTCTCCGTTTCAGCAACTCGCTTTGGCTAAACGAGGAATTGCTTTTTCCTGACATCATATTGGTTACGTAGCCGCCTGCTACCATTGTGCGCAGTTTTTGCCCACGTTGGTAAAACGTTTTTCGAACCCTAGCATTGCACGTGCGCGTGTCGGGAACAACAGCAGCATCATCCATCTCGGCATATAAGCCGTGCAGTATTTTAAATGTGCGGTTGGCAAAGGCACATAAGGTCGCTTTTGTGGTCATAGACGCTTTGGAAACAGCGGATTTTACCAGAGGGTACCTTGAGTCAAATTACTTTTCAAAAGTATTAATGGCATAACTTACCGTTAAAATTCCAGCTAGGGTTGATTCACTACGATCCCTTGCTACAATGTAATATGAATCCGGTTGCTCTTCAAATACGGCCTGAGCAATCCTACCAATTGAAATTCAAGTAAAATATAACCTTGCATTTTCCTTAAAAGGTTCATTATCTAGCATTGCCTTTCCTGACCGTCGTGTGCGGCCAGGCTCAGGAGCGTGAATTTAGCAGAGACCATCCCTAGGTTTTAGGTTGCAAGATTACCAAATGGGTACAACAATTCTCCATGTGGTGGAGTGGGTCGCGATCAAGTTTACAAGAGTTGACCGTTGGTTCCGTCCTATTCTACATAACAAGTTTCTCTCAATGCCACCTCGAGAATTTTTCACGTTATTGATGCTGATTGCTCCTAAAGTAGTCCCCTATATTTTATTGTATCAAAGTGGACCAAGTTCGAACTCGGCTTTCGGTCGTGCATTAAAATGACGTTGGACGACTGTCATGAGTCATGAGTTCGAACACCAGCAAGAACGTACAGACAAAAAACGCCTATTTTGATTAGCTTTGACTCAAGCTCTGCTTTAAAATGTCTTACTTTCATCGGTGCAGACTGCGACTGTGCGAAAGCCGCCGTCAATTGTAATGCACAAATTGAAGACTTACATTGAAAGGTCCTTTATGTGAATGGTTGGAATAACATTTTTCCCGTCTCCATAAACATCTAAGAAGGGCATGTTCATCCAGGCTTTCTACAAATTTAAAGTCTTCTAGTGTACCAAATGACACTACTTAATGCGGAAAACAAGAGTTATGACGCTCTAGAATGCCTGACGCTTGAGTACACACTTCAATTAATGGGCAGCCAGCTACTTTTTTCCACTTAAGCATCACTTGAGGGACTGATAGTCAATGATGTCCCAATAGTACGTAGATGCCTGCCTTAGTTGGCACAAGTCACGATCTGGAACGAAGGCTAAAATCTTTTAAGTAGAATTAATCGAAGGCACAAATGCGGAGTACATCCACTTGGTTTTTAGTAGAACAAATTTAGGGTGGGAAATTGGAGGTGGTTGCGGGTTTAGGAACGGTAGTTTACACAAAATGTGCGCAATCAGAAGATGGGGAAAATAGCTGTGCATTGTGATAAAGTGAATTGATAAACTGTGCGTATACGAGCTCTCGAGATCGTCACATTCAGGGTTTCAGAGATGCAAATTCGAATTGCGCGCACAGTGTGATATTTGGAGAAAACGGAGGCACATTTTCAGCTCTTTGATCACTGACAGCAACCGCTGCACATATTTCGACACTTTCGACAATTGGAGCCAGATGGTCGTTGTACTTATTTTGTGAGTCCTAGTGGTAGATGTCAGTCCAATAATCAATCCCGTGGAATTCATTTTGCCCTGTCGCTGTGCCAGTTCAATTTGTTATGCAAAAGCCCTGCTCAAGTCAATCTAGTTTCGAGTCAATTTTAATTGATTTTAAATATTCAAGTGCTTTATATAATGCGGTAGTGAAGGGTGCCATTCGAACAGAGCCCGTTTATTTGGGACCCCATAAATTTCAGAGAGACTGCTGATTGGGCGAAAGAAAGTCATGTGTAGAGCCTGAGAAAAAGCAGTATTTTTACCAGAGAACGCAAATTATCCTGTACTTTTCGAGTTTCCTTCATTTTTGACCCCAAGCAGGCAACGATCGATCAAGTTGGAAGCAAAGTTAGGAAAATTAAATCACGAACTCACCATGAAGAATCGCTCAAAAATGTCCTCACCAACACCGTAAGGTATGCCACAGCCAATGACGTAAGTCTTAAATTTTCTTCGGTGCTAGAAATGATGGAAAATTGATAGTATAATAAATCGAAAATTCCGTTTTCCAGTCTATGGCCAGTTTACGAAGAAGTGAAGCATAATGATACTTAACACAGAACCCATTTTATAATGAAAATAGCCAAATTTTTATTACCCACCACTCCAAAGGACTCTAAAATGAAAGTAGTCTCCGGCCATCGTACATCACAACGAGAAAAAGGCCAGTAAACAGACCCCAATATATATATATATATATATATATATATATATATATATATATA